CTTTATTATGGTTAACTCTGAAGAGTTGCTTGGGGCCACCCAGAATAACTTGTAATCTTCACATGTTAGATACTCTTGTTTAATACAATAATCTTCATTACCTGCTGAGAAAGTATAATTCTATTTAAAAATCACTGTGAACAGATACAGGATTCCAGACTTCACCATTTGATTACTTTTCAAAATAATTTGTTAAAAATAAAACAAAGAAATTAGATGGTTCAGCAGTAAAAGCACTTGCTAACACATGCAAAGTTCTGGGTCTAAAACCTAGCACAACACAAAAAGAAACAGCAGCGGCAGCAGCATCAACAAGAAAGACAAACAGAGTTGCTACTGTTAGTGGGATGAGAATTATCAGTGGGTTGACTTCTGTACTATTATTTCTCAGGAACACTATAAAGATCTAGAAATACCAAGCTCAACTACAAATAATTACTTGTATACTGTTATGCAAGGATACACATTCAATGATACTTACCTAATTCAATTGCCTTCTCTACCTCCAACTTAGGCATTGGTCTATCTTCTACAAAGAAGCCTGCAGGCGTACTTAACTCTAGCGGGGATTTTAGCAGTTGTCTACGATACTGTGGACACCAGGGTGACTGAACAGGACTTTCTGTGGAGGGAAAGGTGGAACAAAAAATCATCCAAGAAAAAAACCAATGTTTAAATTTGATATAACAGAGGAGGGAAAAGAAATAGGATAACAAAACAAACACTGGCAAACTACACGTATTTGTTGCAGCTCTTCCCTGTATTCCCTTGGTTAACAGTTCATCCTAGATGTAGCACGATCTTGCCAACTTCTCTAGGGAGGAGGAACATTCAGATCAGTTTGCTAAGACAAAGAGTTCACTGGCCTGGATCTGACTGTGTGCTCGTCAGCTGCACGATCCCACCTGTGGTCTCACTGGTGAGCTCCAGCTTCTCAGGAATCTGAAGACTTTTGATGGAGGAGGCGCTTGTAACCGAGGCAGAAGACCCAGAGAAGCCAGAAGAGTGTGTGGCTTCACGACTATCTTCAATAATTGGGCTGAAAGAACAACGAATCAGTTCTCTTAGGAATAATAAGTACCAACTTACCTTGTTATAATTTTATACATTTTTATTAACAAATTTTAGAGTATTTATAATAAAATTTATTTTAAAATAATTTATAATCTGTTATAATCTTCTTAGTATGAAGTCCATTATCCTCTTAGGTCAAGAATAGATTCATAATCAGAATCTGAATCTAGGTAACCTATGTTTATTTATTTTTTTGGCAGAACCAGAGATTAAGCTCGCCAGGCAAGCGCTTATTCCACTGAGCCATCTCCCCAGCCCCGAGGTAGCCTATCTTAATGGATAAAAAAGGCCAAGAATCACATTTCTGGATTTACATTTTACTTATCTAATTTATAGTAAATACCTATTCTACAACTAAATCTATACTACTGAGAAATATTTAGCAACACTGACACTTATTCCACTTCATCCTTTCTCCACTTTTCAATCTTCAGTAAAAAAACATCATGAAAGGAAAAAGAAAACCCTAAATTATGCAATATGAATGCATGCTGTGCAATACAAAGTTAGGAAAAGTTTGAAAATGCGGTTTTAGAAGCACAGACCGGCAAATTAAAGACTAAAACCAGAATTAATTTGCTTAAATTAACTGACAAAATCTTAAAGCTGGACCTTGGCTGGCATAGTGGTGCATGCCTGTAATCCTGGCACTTGGGAAGCTGACACAGGAGGACTGCTATGAGTCTGAGGCCAGCCTGGTTTTCACAGTAAGACTATCTCAAAAAGG